CCCGATGATATGCCCACGACCGGACTCTACACGATTCCAGATGAACGCACTCTAGGTTATTTCTGTTTTATTCATAATTCATTGATTTTTACATACTTTTGTATTGCATTGTAACAATGAAATATTGTAGGCTCAGCTGAAACAAGAAACGAGGCGTCGGAAGTAGCTAGAGGCGAAGATGGAGCGGTAGAGGATGGAGACAGAGCGGCAGAGGATGGAACTACAGATGTTTGAATATATGAGGGGTGTTTACGCTGCAATCGGTCAACCTCCACCACCGATGTCAGTTCCTCCTCCTCAACCTGCTCCAAATACTGTTTCAGACACTGTGAGTCGCTTTACAACCTTATAATCACCGTTTCTAGTTTATGCAGAACCAATCTTACAAAGATACCCAAACATTAAAAACTTAGTGACTAATGCAATATGTTTGTTACCAACTAGTACTTAAGCAATCAAAATAGAGCATAATTCAACTGAGAAGATATTGCTGACAGTTGCAAGGGTTATACTAGTTAGGCAGCAAAAAGATCACACGTGTTGTTCAATCTTGTCTCACACATGTAATCTCTTCTCATTTGTGCAGCATCAATCGACGGCATCGAATGAGCCTCATGACCTAGCGTGGTCGTAGTGGAACTCGTGGCCTAAGTGACTACTTGTGATTTTATTTGTATTTGCATTTGTGAATTACCTGTAACTACTTGTGACTATTTATTGTTGTGAATGAACTTACTAGTAATTCTGAAGTTTATTTGCATTTATGTGTTGTCGATATAAACTGCATGTGATGTTTATTGTGAAATATGTGTGATGCCTGTAATGTTTATTTGAGCGGGGTAGGTTATACGTGACCGAACAATAAAAATAGGGAATATATGATCGTTTTACCGAGTGTTACACTCGGCAAAGTGGCATTTTGCTGAGTGCTAGGGTAAAAACACTCGGCAAAGAGAACACATGGTCAAAATATGTGCATTTTGGGACTAAAATGGCTTCTTTGCCGAGTGTCTGCGCTGTGACACTCGACAAAGAAGCCAACATTTGTACGTTCTGGGTCAGTCTTTGCCGAGTGTCCAGTATTTGACACTCGACAAAGATGAAAGGTTTGCCGAGTGCCCGTGATTTGACACTCGGCAAAGATGATAGATTTGCCGAGTGCCCGAGATTTGACACTCGATAAAGAATGCATGTTTACCGAGTGTCAGATATTGGACACTCGGCAAAGAATTCAGGTTTGCCGAGTGTCAGGTCCAGGACACTCGGCAAACGCGCCGTGACCGTCTCCGCGCCGTCGCGATACTTTTTTTCGCCGAGCGTCGGTTTCAACACTTTGCCGAATGCCCGATAGAAAACACTCGGCAAAGAGACGTTGGCGACACTATAGATGTCGTGTACTGTTTACCGAGTGTTATACTCAGTAAATCTTCTGTCGAGTGTTTTTTAGCCTTTATCGAATGTCTATGGCATACGGCAAAATCACTGTTTCTAGCATTGAGACTCATGCATATAAGGAGACCATTGTACCTCTATTCCCAATCTACTAATGAGAATTGGCTCCACTGTGCATCCACGTGTCTCTGTATCTTGTTCCGTGTGTGTGCTCGTGGGAAAGGGAACGGGACGATCTCCATCAACTTCTGACGCCTTCACGTGCTATCGGGATGGACGGAAACCGGAGAGGGGATCCGGACGACGTGTATTTCTAACAATTTTGGCAGACGTTTCCACCCCGTCCGCCGTCCCCACCAGCCGCGCCGAGCCATCGCATGGGCCTTTTTGCCGGATACGGAAAGCTTCCAAGGCCCCAGCTGAACTGGTCTGTGGTCTGGGTGTCCCCCGGCCGTGCAGTGCCGGTCTTAGTAATTTAAGGGCCCTCTGACGATCTCGTCGCAACGGCCTCTTTGGACCATGTATAAAATCTTATAATATATATGCACTAATTTTACTTGCAAAACGAAAACAAATTCAATAATATATTTTTAATTTGATATGTCTGATAATTATCGAGGAACAATGTAGATTAAGCAATATATTTGTAGATGTATGATAATTATCGATGAATAATATAGATTAAAAAAGCAAGATATTTGTTTTCTTTTCTCACCCATTACAAATGTTTCGTAGGTAACATTCTAAAATTCTAACACCTAAATTAGAAGAAAAATATGATTATATGGGTACAAAGTACTAGAGGTCTGGAATACTATACAAATAATTAATTTGGATTAAAAATAAAAAGGAAAAAAATACATTGGGCCTAAACAACTGATCGGTGATCGCAATTCGTAATAAACCAAGAATCAAGATGTCGTCGTCGTGGAGCCCTGCCTGGTCGCCGTCCTCGTGCGTCGTGTCCGTGTCTCCGGTAGTCTGGCTCATCGCGGCGGCGCGGCTCGCCAGCTCCGCGTGTGTAAGGCGCACGTCGCGAATTCACGATCAGAGTGTGCTATGTGCAGCGTGACTCCTCACTTCCTCTCTACCCAAGGGCCGTGGGGAAAGAAAAATAGAAAAGGAATGTCGATGTTATCTTTTTGAACTGCCTGACCAGTTCTATATTTCTCTTCTCATTAGTTTGCTAATGTCTAATGAACTATAGAACCTGGGAGTTTGTATATCTGGGTTTGGGCTCCTCCTCCGCTTGAGCCCTCAGCCGTCGCACCTGGTGACCTACCCCTAGGGCCGGCACTGCGGCCGTGCCGACGGTGCCGGCTGCGGCGGGGGCCCGGCAGCCATGCTCTTTTCGGCTCGTCAGCCGGTCAGCGTCGAGGACGCCCTGACAACCACGTACGAGTGCCTGGTGCCAGCCCGCTCTCTCTAGAATCTTCGTGTCGCCAAGTGCGGGCCGGTCAGTCAAATACTCAAATCTCGATAAGTGGCCAGTGCGGAGGAGCGAACTCTCCAGAGGCCAACAACTTGCCCAAATGAGGATCGTTCCAGAAAAGGGCCATGTCCACACGACGATTGTTAATTACTCCATAATCTGATTCCAATGATCTCGATGGACAATGTTCTCGTGCATGCATGTGTGTCCTACTCTACACCCTGTCCTGCCGACGTGGGCAACAGCCCAAACTCAAACACGAAAACACGACACACATTCTAAGAATTGGGTCACGCACAGTCACCAGGTCACCCATCCAAAATTTTCTTTCTCCAACAGCGAACCTAAAATTTTCTCCCTCCGTCGGCGAGACTGGCCCCGCGCCTCTTGCGGCGGCAAGCCTGGCCGCGTGCTGCCCCGTACGTCCTCCACCGCATGCCACCCCGTGCCAGCGAGCTCGGCCACGCGCTGCGGGTGGAGCAAGGCCGTAGGCGAATCTCACCGGGGCCGGTCCGCCCACATGGCGGCGCGCGACGAGGCCGGAGGCGGAGGCCACCCGCACGGCGCAGCTCGCCGGCACTGGGGGTGGAGCACGCGTCGGCTGCCCGTGGTGGCTCGTTCATCCGCCGGCGTCGGACTGGCCCCACGCGGTACCACCCGGCCCAGGCGGAGAACTCCTGGAGGCCGTGCAGCGTGGCGAAGCGAAAATCGCCGGAGACGTTCATGACCTCGCGGTTGCCGAGGATGGGGAGGAACGCGCTGCCGCGGGCCTCGGCAGAGAGCGCGAGGTGGCAAAGGAGGTAGAGGAGGCAGAGCTCGTCCCCGCCGCGGTCGAGGATGTTGCCGAGCTGCACGGCGAGGGTGGCCCCGCGACCCATGAGGCGGAGGCGGAGGAGGAGTCGGGGTTGCTAGACGGGGGCACGAGGTCGGCCGCTCCCCGCCGCGGGCTTGCCTCGCCGAGCCGGTAGCGCCCCGCCGCGGTCCTCGCCGTCATCTCGTCCGCGGGCCCACCACTACGGGCGCAAGATTTTTGCGTCGTCTCTCCTCGACAACGCTTTTTTGCGTTCTGGCTGGCCTCGGATGTAAAATGGGTCATTTGTCTCAGTCTTCTGCTGAAGCATGTTTTTAGGTATGCAAAGTATTGTGAACCACCTATTTTGCGTTTGGGTTGCGCTGTTGGAGACAGTCTAAGACACTCTTTTTTGCAACTTGATTAAAAGAAGAATAAAATGTGGCTTTAGTTTGAAGTGCTTTCCTACTCGGAAGCAAATTTCTAAATTCGGTAAGTACATTTTTCCACATATGCAGGGGTGCTATCTTGTACTATTGCCACTGAGTGTTGTGGTTCATTGTTTTATTTGTTGAACCATGGCCTCCATATAAAATATATATATATGGCTTATTTGGATCACCAGACTTAAGTTTAGTAGGGACAATAGGCTAAATATGAGCTATTTTTTCCTTTTTTTATAATAAGTTCTACTTATCGATTACTCGTAGCATCTATTATTTTTTAGTCCACAATTAGTTCTTATTTAGATCTTTTATTTTGCATCAAAAACACACTTAAAGTTTAGTTTAGTCCGTCCAAACTTTAGACTAAACTAAACTTTAGATTCTTTAATCTAAAGAGAACACTTTCATTTGAACTTATCGGTTATGGTATAGTTTTTTCTTTCACAACAAAATACCATTAGCAGGTTTATCAGCCGGACAGCTTAGCCTTTTTGGTTGGTCGTATTTGGCTTATCAGTCATGGCTTATCAGCTAACGAACAGTATTTTTTTCTCACACCAAACTAGCCAACAATATTTTTAACCATGATTTATAAACCAAATCAGTCCAAACTAACAGGGCGGCTTATAGTGTTTTCCGAGTTACGCAAGCCCTTTGCACTACGGTAAATTAACAGGTGATGTGACCACACTTTTCGTCTTTAAAACCACACAAGCAGGCGTCGGTGTCAGGCCCCGGTTCTGGAGGCTTCGCGTTTCGCGTGGAAGCGCCGGCCAGCCAAGCAACTTGCGCGCGACCGGCCTCCCCTCGCCTCTCCTGTCCTGGCCCCTGTTTGTTTGCCTCTGGCCGGGGCCCTTCTCTGTTCTCTCCTGCACGCCACTCTGCAAAAACCCGCCTCTCTAACAGACCAGTCGACGCGCGCGCGCCGGCGTCAGCCGACATGGCTTCCAGTCACTGCGGCAACGTCCAGGACAAGGAGAAAACTTCGGCTCCTGGCGCCGACCTCTACGCCGTGCTCGGGCTCAGCAGGGAGTGCACCGACGCCGAGCTCAGGGTCGCGTACCGGAGGCTCGCCATGGTACGTCCGTTTTTCCTTCGACGAGCTAGCTGGCTAATCAATGTTGTTCGTCTCCTCTTCTTCCAACCAGCCGCTACAAATCGAGGATCATTTGCTGAATTTTTGTACGCCTGATTCTGATTGCACGTGCAGATATGGCATCCGGACAGGTGCTCGGCGTCCCGCAGCTCGGCGCGCGTGGAGGAGGCCAAGGTGCGGTTCCAAGAGATCCAAGGCGCCTACTCCGGTGATCACCCCCCCTCTCTGCTCCTCCATTGATCGATCATTAGCTTAGCCGCCCAAAAGCAAATTCCTCACATTCCATGCCGATCGAAGCAGTGCTCTCCGACTCCAACAAGCGGCTCCTCTACGACGTCGGCGTCTACGACAGCGAGGACGACGAGGCTGACGTAAGTACTCGACCGAACTCAATCGCATGCATTTTCTTGAGGGATTTGGTCAGGGAAATTCGATTGCTGACGGTTTCTTTCCATTTCGTGCATGCATCATCGTCCTTCCGCAGCTGTCGGGGATGGGGGACTTCCTCGGAGAGATGGCCGACATGATGAGCCAGGCCACGCCAACGGTAAAGCCCGCGCACCCGCCGCTGATGATCTGGAGCGTCCCTCGCGCGTCGAGATCCGCGCGCTAACCGAATCGATCCGTGTTGGTGCGTGCGTGCAGGAGACCTTCGAGGAGCTGCAGCAGGTGTTCGTGGACATGTTCCAGGACGACCTCGACGCGGGGTTCTTGGGCGGGCTTCCGACGGGCCACAGGGCCCAGGCACCCAGCACCTCGTCGCCGCCATCGGTGTCGTCGTCGCCGCCGTTGCGGCCGACGCCTGCTGGAAGAAACAAGGGTGCGCAAGCACCGTCGTCGTCGTCGTCGTCGTTTAAAGGCGTCGAGAGGCAGGCCCGGGTCGGCGGGCCTGGAACCGGATCTGGGCCTCTCCGGATTCTGCTTCATGGTAAGCTAGTCGACCCGACCCTTGTTGGCCTTTTTCACGGGTTGGGCGCTGCTGTAGCTCCGTGTATTGGCCTGGCCCTGCAGCCCCGCTGAATGTGATGGCAATTGACACGCAGTTATTATACTATATACTCCCCCGTCCAAAAGAAAAAATCTCGCTTACCATAAATCAAACAATCAGAAAGTTTACATCTTCTTTAAATAAGCTTATTATTAAAATGGATTTCACGTTACTTATTATGAATAATAAATAAATATTACTTGTTCTGTATATATTTTATTAAACTTTTAATTCTTTGACTTCTTGAAAACAAGATTTTTATTTTGTTGACGAGGAAGGAGTAACGGGTCAGTTTGGTAGAGTATTCTTTCCTGATTCTTGATCTTCAATTCTTGGTTCTCAGGTGGAGTAATTCTGAAGGGGGGAGTAATGTGGGGAATAGGTGAGAATTAATTCTAAAGTGATTTCAGTGGCAATTGAACAGGGAGTAGTGGAAAGCGGTGGAGAGCATTTTTTTAGCTCCCAGCTCATAGTGTAAATGGAGAAGTGATTCTCGTTAGTTTCCTACAAGAATCCAAATGCATTTTTAAGTGTTTGGTAGAGATCTATAGAATTCGCTCCGAAGAAGCTAGAAGCGGAGCTCTACCAAAGTAGCCCAAAGTATATAAGATCCACGAGCACAAACAATATGTGTACTAGCAAACCTGCAACTTCAAAGTCCAAGATCCACCTTTTTTTTGTCGTCCACATCGACACCCCAGATTGAGATTTTCCTCTCGCGACAAAGAATACCCGACTAGCCCACTAGGATAGCTACCATGAAGGAACTTGCCGCGCTTTACAATTTGGTTGTGTTGTGAGTGTTTTGCTTTCAGGGATTGTGGATGGGTCTTTGCTGAATTTCTGCTAGAGAAAGGGAGGAAGGGTTAGGATAAGTCTTCTCTACCATAGGCCACGAGGAGATTTGTCGGTTGAGTTGTCGTCTCTTGATGGTTTTGTTCAAGATAAGGTAGCATACGCATCTCCCCTGAGATTTTGAGGGTGTTTGCTGTTGTTTACCTTCTAACATGTACTATAGATAAAACTTGAAAAGTTACAATAATTATAGCTTTAAGCTCCCATGAGCAGGCTTTTTATAGTTGGGATGGTAGTTAGAACCTACGGGTGTGGGCCCTTGGGCGTCGCACCTGCTAGGCTGCAGGCGCGGGTACCAAATCAAATCATGAGCCTCATTGGATTAGAGCCAAAATGAACAAGGGTTAGTTGGAGGTGTTTAGGCCCTGTTTAGATCCCTCCAGTTTTTTGCCAGTTTTTGACAGATTTTTAAAAACCAGGAAGATGTTGATACTCAGCTTTTGCTAGTTTTTTTTTTGACCCATAGAGCAATAAATGAAGCCTGATTCTTAAAAACTGGGGATCCAAACACCCCACCAGTTTTTGCTCAGAATCCATATTTTAGAAACTAAAGACAAAAACTGGTTTTAAGAATCCGAAACTGATCCAAACAGGGCCTAAATCGCAGCCATGGATGACTATTGAGGCTAAGAGGAACATTCAATACAACTAGGTATCTATGTTTAGTCATTAATTTAATAATATATTTAACAACTGAGTCTTAATTTTTTCGTCCATTCAAATTGTATGTGGTAAGTAACTAGATCTGTGATAACTTTAAACCTTATTGTTTTTAAATTTCTTTACTTATAATGCAATCATGATGATATATTTCTTATAAGACTAACACCTTCGACCGCTAAAACCGACGGCCACACGCGGTGCGCGTGTGAAAATTGCACCCATAGTGTATCGAGGGCGAATGTGATAATATTTTGTAGGTGGTGTTGTCACAAGCGGGTATTTGCTTGCAAACATGTTCGGACATGAAACTTGCATGCTTCTATTTTCAATGTTGAAATCTAGCCAGTAATAATAGTACTATCTTCCGTGCAGGTGGGCAAGTCGAAGGAGAGGCGCGCAGGCGGCATGGGCGAGTGACGACGGTGACAATAGAAGCGGCAGCAAGCAGAGGTTGTGGACGAGCCGCGATGTCTCCGGTGCTGGGATGTCGCGCTCACGGCAGGGCCAGAGCAGCAGAAACTTGTGGCAGTGTATGGCCTCTAAGTCTTGTTGATTAGAGCACTGTTAATTGACTTGCTGGCTCGCGTTAGTCGATCCATCTCTAGACACATTGAAAGAGGAGAGAGAGAGAGAAAATCTTGTTGCGTTCTTCAATCTGTTGTAAGCTCAATGATGGCCCTGACAACTTTACGAGCAAACCCACATGCTCCAACCTAATTTTTCCCATTTTTCTGTATGGCCCTATGTTTTTCCCCTAAACGGGGCGGATCGGGGTTGGGTTTTGTTTTTCTCCCATTGGTGCCCATTAGGGACCCGAGTTTAAGCAGCTGCTACGAAAAGCCCACCATAGCCGACCCAACTAAGGATCAGTAACCCTAGCAATATTTAACAAAAATCAATTGACTGTTGACTCCTCTATCCTCTCCTCTCGACCTCTCCCCACTCCCCTGCCGCAGCCGCACGGGTGCTGGGGCGCACAATATTGCGCCATCGGCGCATCCTCGGACCGTGCATCGGCTGTTCCCCCGACACCCCTACGGCCCTCCGCCGGTCGCCGCCCCTGTGGTCCTGGCTTGACGTCTCCTCCTCTGTGATTCTGCCCCCTAAGTCGAGAACGAGTGGACGCGGATCCACGCCTCCACCACCAGTCCACCACCACCACGGCACCACACGCTATGGCCCTTCGCGTGCGGTCCTGTTGATTCGCCGCTCGCCCTAACTCTGATGGTTCGGCCACCACCCCGTGCTCATCCCTGTCGCCGGTCCATCCAAGTTCCTAGGTTTCGGGGAACCCGTCGGGGCGGGTTCGGGTTTCGTTCTTGGTTTTCGGGTGGGAGTCTGCGGATGCAGCACGCGGCCTCGACCTGCCCCATTGCCATATCTAGGTGCGCGGTATCGGGGCAGGAATTTTTTCGAGAGAGGTTTCACCGCGGGCGAGCGGGAACTTTTGGTGAGAGGCTTCACTACAGTCAGGTAGATGGATCCTCTTCATATTTTGAGTTGTAGAGATAGAGATAGAGAAGACATGTTGATGGTGTTTTCATGGTGTAGAAACATATCATTTTCACCATCGACACCAACATTGAATCCTGTGGCCAGCATCCAAACTTAGCGAATATCACTGAGGAGTCGGCGACGACGTACCCAGATGGGAGCACACGACACAACCAAGTAGAGCAAGCACTACCTAGGAGTTGCAGAAGCTTTTTATCCAAACAATAGTTTTTTGAAAGAAATATCCAAACAATAGTACTAAGCATAAAACAAAATAGTAGTATTCTTATCTAACAAATTAGGAAGTGAAAATGGTTTGCACATGAGAAATACTATATCGCCATAGAGGACCTAAAAAGGAATTGGAAAAGAATAAGGCTCTCTTTGTCGCGCTTCTAAAAAGGTTAGCTTTGGCTTTTTTAGCTTCTTGGGTAAACCTCTAGGAAATACGCGTACTAAGTTATAAAATGGCTCTACAAGAGAAGCTACAACGGGGAGATGTCATTTTTTTACTAGAAAGGAGAAGCCACCTCTAGCTTTTCAAGGTGAAATCATTAGAAAAGAGGAAGCTTTATCAAGCCAAAAAGTCTATCTGACCTCCCTCAACTATCGAGTAAGTCAGATTTACCTCACTCCATTAGAAAACCAAATTCTAGGCTCCTTGAACTCTTAAAAACGTTCAATTTACCTTTGTAAGCGGTTATAAAAGCCGGTTTGTCTGACATAGCGCCACAAGAGAGTAAATAGGACTTTCATGATACTTCATAGAGGTCAAATAGACTTTACAAAAAAATACAAATATTTTTAAAAAAAATATGCAAATATTCTTTGGAACCAATAAGTATTTTAAAAGTACTACATTTCGATTTAATATTAAAAATCATAGAAAATTTGTCGTAACTCAGGAAAATATGAAACCAATTTCATATTTATCCTAAAACACTCTATCTTTCTCCGAGCTAGCCGCTAGGCACCATAATGTAGATAATGGTTTTAGGAAACATATGCAGTCCAACATCCAATGCCCATCCAAATTGCCTTTCTTCTCGATCATGTGCTCCTGGTGCATGCACAGATCTATGACGGTGATGACGAACGAGGAAGCGTCGCATCCATATGGATGTTGTTGCCCAAGTCACATACATTGGTTTGGGAGTCTGAGAAGTCGCACACCAAATGGTTCAATGAGTCTGCACACGTCATCGTCGTGATGTCTCGTGAAGAAGACAATGTTGCTATAAAGCTAAACCACATGATACATGTTGTTATTGTGATTAGAACTTGAATTATATATTTTTATTTCTATTTTTCCATGCATGTATCGATGGTTAAGCAAGACATTGCTGTCGAGCAAAGGTTTTTTTAGTTGCACAACGAGTTGTGCGTTGATTCACGCTGCGGTCTATAAGGATTTGTCTTAGTTTGCATTCTTCATTTCATATTTGGTCATTATTTAAATTTTAAGAGACCATATAAGATTCAAATAATTCTAAGGAAGAAAGAAAAAAAAGATAAATCATGATTTTAGGACAAATATAAAACATGATTTTAGGACAAATATAAAACTGGTCTCGTATTTTTCTACGTTAAAACAATTTTTAGGATTTTTTCTAATATTAAATTAGATTTTTGTATTTTTATTAATGCATATTTATTTCAGAGAAATATTACGATAGTTCCTAAGAGTTATCTCTATGTTTCTCTATAAAGTCTAATAATTGACCTTCTAAAACTATCGAGATAGTCCCGTTTATATTTGTTTATATTTTTCGTGGTTGATGTGGCACCCCATAGCATGACTAACATGATATCACATTAGCTAAAATCGCTCAGGAAGATAATCGGATGGTTTTAAGAGTTAGTTAGAGAAGTCTAAAAAACAAATTTCTAGTTGAGGAAGTTAAATCGGACACATAAGTGTCGAGGGAGGTTAGATGGATTTTTTCCTCATCAAACAGTGCTAAACCAGTTTCATGGGCCGCTCTAACTCTCCCCCTAAGGCCCTAACAAAACCTAGAGA